GTTTGATAACCTCCGGCGATTGTAATTAAAAAGTATCATAAGTAGTCCCAAAGTAGTAAACACGGCTTCTATAGCGACCTATCTATGTTACAAGGTACTTAAACATATTACAAAGTACATGTCTTCAAGTATGCTCATCATCAAACTAAGTAAGATCCATTCTCAAAGAAGTAAACTGATCTCTTTATTTTTTGTCGCAGAATACAGACACACCGGTGAAAGAAATGAAGAAGAAAATGGCTGCCAACGCCGAAAAGGAGAAGCAAGCAGCGGAAAAACTGGCCGAGAAACCATCAGAGAAACACGATAAGAAAGAGAAGGCTGCTGAAAAACCTGATAAACCGGATAAATCCGACAAACCTGCCGAAAAACCGGAGAAGTCCACGGAAAAAGTAGAGAAAAGTGCTGAGAAGAACGAGAAAGTGGATAAAAAAGCGGAGAAATCAGATAAGAAGGAGAAACAACCGGAGAAGAAGGCTGACCCTCCAGCGGAGAAGAAGGAGGATAAGGAACCTAAAGATGATAAGAGCAAGGTAAGAAGTTTTTAAAAATGCAATCATTGATTATATTCAATTAAGAATGTCTAGTTATCTATAATATATAAAGCTCGATTACCACTGACTGACTCACTCACTGATCAGGGGTATTTTTAGGGTATTTAGAGGGGAGAGGGGTAAAATTGTTAGTGTTTGTTTTAAACTAGATTTTTCGACTGCCAGCTTTATTATAGTTTTTGAACCAAAAAACAAAATGGCGGCATTTTTTGAGACATTAACTTTTTTGTTTTTCATCCTGAATTTTTTCTTTTTTGGTGGTTTGTTGGGGTTGCCAAGGTGTGCTAAAAAATGTGAGAAAAAAATGGAAAAACAAAATGGCCGCGCCGCCATCTTGGATTGAAAATGCGATTTCGAGGTGTTTTTAGGGAGGTGTCACGACGAGATGCGCAATTGTTTTTGAAAATTTCTTTTGAGTATTTGTGACATGTATAGTCTTCTTAAGAGATACATTCACAGATTATCAAAAAACAAGATGGCGGCTGAGCCGTCGGCCATTTTGTTGCGATCAAAAAATTCCCAAACTTTGACACGAATTTTCCGGTAGATGGCGACACCGGAGTGGGGTACAATGTTCCGGGCGATAGTTGGTCTGTTATTCGAGTGTTGCCATGAATCGGAAAAAACTACCATTTTGGAAGAAAATTTTCCACCACGGCCCCGGATAGTAGAAAATGGAAATTTCCAAAAATTCCATAAACTTGGAATGCAGTCTGGTGACATTTGGGGACTCAAATGACATTTCACCATTTTTATGAAAAAAGTCTGGCAACACTGAAAGTTATGGGGAAAAGTTTTTTTTGCGACATGGGTGTCTTTAAAGTTAGTGACAGACAGAAAGAATTATGGCAGAAAAAAAATAAAAATGACGTTTGGTCGAATATACGACCCAGATTATGGGAAAAATCCGAAATGTCAAAAAATCAAGATGGCGGCGGCGTGGGCGGCCATTTTGTAAAAAGTTCAAAATTTCGGAAATTT